GTCAATAATGTACATACACGAAATGAAATAACAGGGTCTCTAAAGTGGTAGAGCCACGCTGCAGCTATATTAGTTGTAGCACGAATGGGTCGACTCGACCGGCGAAGGACCACGCTCACAGAGAATACTAGCGTAAAATAGCAGCTTAAGGGGATAGAGTGAGTCAGCTCAAATTCTAATTTCGTTCCCACTTGCCCGCGCGTCGTATGCTATGTACCGACATGTTTGTAATCACTAATACTGTAAGTAGAATGGTCGTTAGATCCTGTTTTTAAAACATTCGCTTCTTATTTTTATTACGGTTATTTCCCATTTTAATTTTACGTCGTCCTGTTGCGTAATGTATATTCTGATCGTAAGCGACACAACCTCCACGTTCAAAGGCCGAAGCGAAGTGACCGTGCGGCAGGAATCACGCTTCAAGAGGCGATAGTTTAAGTAATTTCTTTTTACAGTGAAAATAATGGTATTTTAAAAAAAGTAAATAACATAAGCACTGCTTTATAGTTAGTTCAGTTAGTATGCATAGTTTCATGATCTTATTTAAAGTACTCGTTTTTATGAATAACAGCGGTTTATTGTTTATTTTGGAGGTAACTTTGGATTTTTTTCTATCGAGAAAATTTTACGAAATCGTTTTTTCGTCTAACATAATCCTTAACATTAATCCTCAACTTTACCATATATTTATTTCAAAATTAATGCTGCAATATTTTCGGCATAACGAAGGATCTTGCTAAGCCATTTAAGATTATATTTCCCCTTAATACTGCTGTGTTTCGTATGATGACTGTAGAGAACCGGATACCCTTTTTACTGGAAACACGGCATTCCTTCTTAGTCCTCGGGTGTGACGACGCATCTGTATTTTTATTCTTAAGCGAGGATAAATGTAGATGTCTATAGGTCACAGCTTCTACATGCCATCGGATGGCCTGTGTGCTCGTTTGTCACCCTTATTCTATAAAAAAAAAGTTTTTTGAAGAGTAGTGGCGACCTAAGAGAATTCGTTGCTTCTTTAAATGTTGCTCCATTTTATTTTATTTTATAAGATTACCAACGATTGTTACACCAGTAAAAATCTTAATTGCTAAAGCTTATTTATGATTAGTATCTATGACATAATGCACAATCACATTAGGTAATTATCGCTTACACAATTAAACATTAAATAATAAGGCTATAAACTAAAAGCTTCATCTCTAAAATTGTTTTTTTTTAATTTAGTGGTTTTCATACAATATGCGTAAACGATTTGGTGATGGCTGCATATTTCAAATACGTGGTATTTAGGGAATTTGATCCTTGTAGCTTCCTACGGAATGGGCATACATATAGGATATATATATATATATACTTTATTTATTATATATATATATATATATATATATATATATATATATATATATATATATATGGGTTTGATAGGAGCACGAGGTTTCTCCGTGCCACTCTAAAGCAAAATATTGAGAGGAGTTCTGGACAGCATACATAGTCTACGGATTACGGATACGGATATGGACTCTAGGGATTACGATAAATGACGTATGAACATTTTTCGAATCTTAGGAGTTGCAAAATGGGGATACTATACAACACTTCCGTATTCTAAAATTGAGCGCACTAGGCTGCAGTAGAGCAAACTTTTTGTGGCAGATTTTCAGATTTTTTTCATTTCTTTTTACGAAACCCAACAATTTTGATGCTCTCTTTGTAGCATGCTTATAATGACTGACGAATGTTAGTTTTTTATCCAAAAGAATACCCAAATCTTTGACAACATTTACCTCTTTAGCTGTGATATGATAAGTTGGAAGAATTTTAGATTCATATAAATTGATGTCCGCACATTTATATACGTTCAATTTCATGCCGTTTCTTGTACACCATACTACCAAAGAGTTGATATCCCTTTGTACAAGTTCAGCATCCTCAACTGAACTAACGGCTCTAGCTAACTTCAAGTCGTCAGCAAACATGTATGGTTTCGTAAATGTAAGACTAACAGGAAGGTCATTAACGAAGATGTTGAATAATAGCGGTGCGATGTGATAACCTTGGGGCACACCCGAAGGGATGTGATGCAATACTGATGCAAAGCCATTCACTAATACATAAAAAGCTACACTAGTAAGATAAGACTTTAGCCATTTTAAAAGATTCTGTCGCTTCAGGGTATGGAACTTTTATTCCTTCCTCTGTGGTACCCATCGGAGGCAAATCTCTGCCATGGTTTGGTCGCTCCTATAAAATAGCATCATGCTATAAGCAGAGTGCTACCAAGCCTGGGCTGACGCATCAACGTTCCGGGATGTAAACACCAGCGCTCTAAAAAAGAAGTATAATTCTGCCCGTTCTTCAAGAGTCATTGCCAAGGCAAAGTTAGAGTACATAGGCAGAATTGGCAAGAAACTAGGTCGCCTTCCTTCTGGAACCCGTGCGTTCTGGTCTCTCGACAAGGCTGTCCAGGGGAATTTCTGTCAGCCATCTCTTCCATTCCATCTCTGCACAAGGAGAACGACTCACTGGCCCATGCCGCAAAGGAGAAAGGCAATCTACTAGGCTCTTTCTTTGCGTCCAACTCGACTCTCAATGACGATGGGAGTACGTCGCTGACCATCCCGCGGTGTGAGTGTTCCATGCCGGAGGAGCGATTTACACAGCGCTCGGTTCGCAAAGCACTCCTCTCCCTGGACATCCACAAGTCGAGTGGGGCCTGACAGTATCCCACCAAATGTACTGAGGACTTGTGTTCCAGAGTGGGCACCGGTATTAACGCGTCTTTTCCGATACTCCTACTTGCAGTCCCATAAATCATGGAAGATGGCTTTCATCTACCCGATCCCTAAAAAAGTCGACCGCTCAGACCCGTCCAACTACAGGCCCATCGTCATTACCTCCTTGTTCTCCAAAACAATGGAATTCATTGTAAACTGCCAGCCTATGAGGTACCTTGAGAATCACCAGCTGATTAGTGATCGCCAATACGGTTTTCGTCGTGTTCGATCAGCTGGTGATCTTCTGGTCTACCTGATTCATAGACGGGTGGCGGCAGTAGATTCCGAGGGGAAAACATTATCCTTTTTTTGATTGGGGTTGTTTGGTCAAAATGCTTCTTTCGAAGCTCCCTTTCTTATGGGCTTCCCAAGTAATTGTGCAATTGGATCACCAGCTTTTTTGCAGATCGGAGTATCAAGGTCGTTGTAGACGGTGCAAGCTCCGATTGCAAGCCTATTAATGCTGGTGTTCCACGAGGTTGTGTGCTATCACCAACGCTGTTTCTTCTGCATATCAATGATATGTTGCAAGCCTGCAACATTCATTGCTATGCAGATGACAGCACTGTTGATGCTCTGTACACCGGCCGTGCCAATATTTCTCGGGAAAACGTCTCCGAGTACCGGGCCAAACTTGTGTCTGAAGTCGAGTCTTTGCTGAACAAAGTCTCAGATTGGGGGCGACTAAATCTAGTCCAGTTTAACCCCCAGAAGACACAAGTTTGCGGGTTTACCGGTAAAAAGAACCCCTTTGTCGTATCTCCTCAGTTTCATGACACCCCCCTTGTTGCCTCAGCCGGTATCGGAATCCTCGGCGTCGACATATCGAGTGACGTGCAGTTTCGTGATCACTTGGAAGAGAAGGCCAAATCGGCCTCTAAAAAGAGCTTGGCGTGCTCAGCAGAGCGGGACAGTATTTCATGCCGGCACACCGCCTGCAACTTTACAAGGCGCAGTTTCGGCCGCACATAGAATACTGTACCCATCTCTGGGCTGGGGCTACCCAGTGCCAGCTACTTCCATTTGACTGCTGAATTTGAATGGCTCAAATCGTCGACGACCGAGTGCTTTCCGATCGGCTCGATTCACTGGCGTTGCGACGAGATGTTGCATCTCTTTGCGTATTTTGTCGCATCTATCACGGGGAGTCCTCTGAGGAATTGTTCGGATTAATCCCAGCCGCCAAATTTCATAAACGCACTACGCGGCAAACCTCCCGATACCATCAACACCGTCTGGATGCTTGGCGGTCCACCACTGTACATTAAGCCACTGGTCGTTGACACAGTCAAATTAATCGATAAAAATGCGGGTCTTTTTTGTTTATTAACAACACAGACACTCACTGTAGCAATTTACTCTCAATGATTTCTGTGAACACTAATGTTAATCGGCAATTTTTATTTAATTTCTCCGTTATATTCATATTAATATTCACAATGATTATGCTGTATAAAAGATGTTTGTATCACGCACTCACTAATATAACTTCCACCACTAACTTCGCAATAACATTCTCTTAATTGTTTTTCTGCGGAGATATAACTTATGCGTCTACTTACATCGTCCAGTTTAACACTAAAAATTATGTATAAGTCACGTTTACTAAATTTGTAACAAAGTAAAAATGTCATAATTAGAAACAATGAAATAGGTCCGTGACGTCTGCTACTGCGACTGATATAATCTGTCCACTAAGCATGACCATGATGGCAAATCCTCTTTACAATGACAGTGGCCTATCCCAAACAGTCGACTTTTGGCGGTTAAAAAAAAGAAGAAAAAAGAAACTTATAATCATCTTTCAAGCTTTATTATTTTGACACTACTACTACTATTACTTGAATAACCTCAAGGCCAATCATTTTCTACCTTCAACCGACTTCAAAAAAAAAAGGAAGAGGCTCACAATTCGACTGTATTTTTTATATGTTACCTCAGAACTTTTTTCTAGGTGAACCGATTTGGATGATTTTTTATTTGAAAGCTATAGTCCTATAGCTGTGGTCCTATATAAATTTGATCAAGATCTAGCCAGTAGTTTTTGTGATCCTTAATAATGTGTTCTCATTTTATTTATATTGAAGTCTGTTAAACAAAATTTTTAATCATACCATTTGTTTTATTATGATTTAGGAGAACTTACAAATGTATGTACAATGACAAAAAATAATATACTGAAGTCCAATAAAAAGTTCTAAAATTTTGAAAACCGTATAATATTCATAGTTGCTTAAGTACATATCGCTCTACAAACTCCTCGTTGACTTCCAGTAGCCTTTCCATATAGACCTTGGACTCGCGGCAGTAAGCGAGCACGGGTTCGGTCCGGTCCTCATCGCAGTACTTAACAAAAGTATCTGGGTCGTCAAAGGTCTTCTGTGCGGTTTTAGGATCCATCAACACAAATGGCAGAATCCCAATAGCTCCAAAAATAGCAAACATGCGACTTCTCTCGCACCAATCTACAAATACTTCGAAATTGTAATTTAATTCTTTCAGCCTATTTTTTGTGTCGTCATCCACAGTCTCTGAGAAGATCGTGAAGTAATGGCGGAAAATTTCCTGTTCATGCCGCTCTCTAAACTTTCTCACAGTGGTAAAATACAAGAAGGCCATAAGATCGAATGCAGGGGGTCCTAATCGTAAGCACTGAAAATCGATTAATAAAGAATTTATAGGTACATCACCGTTATACTTAAACATGATGTTATTTACCCACAAATCCTTATGAAGTAGCACATTAAGGGTTTTTTCATATTCTCTAAGCGAAGAACAGGCCTCTACAAACTGTTTGACAAGTGTAGGCTCTAAATCTCTGTGATATTGATCAAATTTATTAGACAATGCCTTGAGGAGGTTCACAGTTAGTTTGGCGGCCGCTCTCAACCACGGAGAATCACAGAAGGTGGGTTCTGTCAACACATTGCTGTACTCACTAGTTAAGTCGAAACTTTTGTCGTGCAACATACGTCTAGTCACATAGTTAGCGAAGGATGCGTGGAAACGCGCAATGGACGCCGTTGTTAACAGCGTGTGCTTGAGATCGAGAACTTCGTGGTTCATAAATGTTCTGTAACCTTCGACAGCTAAGTCCGGCATCACGAGGATTGTCTCATTGCACAGATATGCTTTTGCGCACCACGGATTCGGTCCTAGAAGAAATTATATCTGATTAAGTATTTTCTTGTAGTAAATATTTTGATGGGGTATAAAGGAATGTGAAATGTTTATATAAATATAAAGGTTACATATACACGGGGCAGTGACCTTGAGGGTGTGGGCAAGTGGACTATGGCCACCAACCAGAAATACCTCAAGTTCGGAAATCTTTTCAAAGGGTCAAGCTGTCAGTACTCACTAAATCCCAACTTGTTTTAAAATGCATTGCAGGCAGATTTTCGAAAATATATAAGAAGCACGAGAGTAGAATAAATGCTACAGAAATGTGGTCATTAAGAAGTATGTTGTATGGATTTTTTGGACCGATACGACCTAAGGGCCTTTAAGAAAAGAGCCTATTCTTTTCTAAAAGACCGGCAACGCACCTGCGATTCCCCTGGTATTGCAGTTGTTCATGAGCGACTGACGACACTTACCATGAGGTGAGCCGCATGCTCGATTAATTCCTCTTCTATAAAAGAAATGGTATGGGAGACTCTGAATGACAGGTTTAGAAATTGTGTGATAAGAAAAGTGTTGTTAGTAAGGTGATGTTGTGACCAGGATTAAGAAAGATGTGTTTCGGTGAATTGATCATGTAGAAAAAATGAACGAGGAAAGAGTGACAAAGCAAAATTATGTTGCACAAGTGAATGACAGAGTCAGCAAGGGATGCCCCAGATGGCAGTTTATTGACCAAATTCGCGATATGTAATATATGGGCTAAATTAAAAGTACCCTTGACCGACGAACATGTGTGTGTAGGTATAGGGATGTGAAGGAGCCGAGAGAGGTGTGTCACGTGTCAAATGTAAATACGTAGACCGTGTCTAGCATTTAGAGTTACAGGCGTGAATGTTTATGTTAAGTTATATTTACGGCAGTTTACTTAAAATCAGGAGAAAATGGTATCTCAGGTGGTTAGCGCTCGCTGTAAATTTCACAGTACGCGAGCAAACAGGAAATTGTTAATTGCAATTTTAAGTGCTGATTTACCACGTGCTCGGCGATGAAGGAAAAAATCGTGAGGAAACCTGCATGTCTGAGAAATAAGAAAAAAATAATTTTCGAAGACATGTGAAGTTCGCCAACACGCATTGGGGCAACGTGGCGGACATTTCCTTGCCCTAATACCCTCTCAAAAATGAGAAAGGGTCTGTGCCCAGCAGTGGGACGTATATAGGCTGTAACTTTATTTATTTTAGGAGAAGATCACGACTGAGTACTTTTATGCTGCACTCATTGAGCTGCCCGCTAATAGTAACGATTCCAGCAATATTTTTCTACAATGTGATTTCCATGTGCAGCAGTTATTCGTTACAAACTAATAAAGAAGAACAATATTATTAAATTTTAAAACTTTCAGACCACAGGTGGTACAAACTACGAAATTCAAGCGCCTGCCAGTTTTTAATTATCAATATCTGTAGAGGCTAACTTGACTAACTTAATTGGCGCTACTTTAAAACAAGAGTGGGCAAAACTGTAAGAATGACAGGTGCGTCGCCAACTTTATTCAACATCGTCACTGAATCTAGTGAAGTTTCGAATTTTCAGTACGAAGTCTATCATGCGGAGAGATTCCAAGCATAGCCCTAGCGTAGCTCGCTGAGCGACCGAGTGGTGGATTATGAAAGGCTTCACAAAAAACTCCATTTTACACTAAACCTGATGGCAGCTAAATACAAATAAATCAGGCATACCTTCTGCTCCATGCATTTCTTCGGAAAGTTGAAACGCCACCATCTCCCTCTTATAAAAACCACCCTTATTTATGAAATCAGCCTTAGGTGCGTTACAGACAGGCACGCTCTTCACGAATAACTTTATCTTTTCAACATACCCGTTGACTTTCACGTGTAAAGTCACTCTAAAGTGGTCGCCGAGGAACCCGGCCATTCCGATCACCGCCGGTCGCTTGTCGCAAGCAATAAGTTCAAAACTGGTAAATCCAAGCGATCGCTTTAAGATGTGATGGATCTGTTTTTTAGTGAAAACATCGTTCACACCTGTATGTATTTCACACGCCATTTTGCTTTTTTACAAATTTTGCGCGCGCACGATCACAGAAAAGATCACACGTTTGAACGTGTACTGTAAGCCTTGAATATTTTATACCAAATCAAAACTATAATTGGAACTGTTGTTATCTGTAATAATGAACTAGTATTTCGTTATCGATCTTATTCCTTTGATATAAGAGTTCGCGAAAGTACGACGTTCTTGGCGAAACGTAGGTAGTCAGCCATCTTTACTTTAGGATTGCACGGCTTATTTGCCATTCAGTTCAGTTTTCATTGTTCTCTAAGAATTACATAAATAATAAATTAACATTAGTTGTTCAAATATTTGCTTTGATTTTTCTTATGCATTATTAACAAATATCAAGTGGCGGGCGTTGTGGCTACTCATTATCGTTCATTGGCTACAAATGTGTACGCGACTTTTGTTATCATCTCAGAGTATTTGGATTCGTTCCTAAATTAAACTACGAACATGGAATGTATTGCGTTATCGAAGATGATTGGTTGTGACAACACATTTCATTACGAGTGCTGCAACATAAAAAACAAGTGTATTTCGACAAATACGTCGAGAAAAAGCGAAGGTTGTATAGTACATCCTGCACTAATATACCTAGGTGGATTGAAAAGTACTCGGCCTAACACAGATCCATTCAATTCTAAAAATCAAATCTACCCACATTATTTAGTTCAGTTCAAAATAGTTCATTGTGTGAAGTTCAAAACGTGTGCGATAATTAGTTGTGATTTTATAAATTTATTAACAAAGTAATCGGACATAATTTCCGCGAATGGAGCAAATCGAGCAGCGTGCCGTCATTAAGTACCTCCATAAGAAGGGGCTATCATCAAAAGCCATCCATGATGACATGGTCAGTACATTAGGCAATTGTGCTCTGTCATATTCATCCGTCAAAAAATGGATAGCAGAATTTAAGCGTGGTAGAGAGAGTGTGAAAGATGAACCCCGCTCTGGAAGGCCTTCGACGTCAACTACTGACGAAAATATTAAAAAAGTACTTGATTTAATAATGGGAGACCGCAGATTAAAAATTAGAGAGATAGCCGAGATTATAGGCATCTCTTATGAACGAACTCAAAACATCATTGTCAACGAGTTTGGTTTCCACAAGGTGTCTGCGAGGTGGGTTCCGCGACTGCTTTCAGTTGAACAAAAAAGGACGCGATTGACTATTTCACGCGACTGTTTGGAGTTATTTGAAGCCGATGCAGATGATTTTTTGAATCGTTTTGTTACTATGGACGAAACATGGGTTCATTACTGTACACCGGAAACAAAACAACAATCAAAACAGTGGAGAAGATCTGGTTCACCACCCCCTAAAAAGGCTAAGTCGATTTTGTCGGCAAATAAGGTGATGGCTTCAGTATTCTGGGACTCGAAAGGTGTGATTATGATTGATTATCTTGAAAGGGGTCAGACTATAAACTCTGATTACTACTGCACCTTACTACGTCGTTTACAAGAGGAAATAAAAGAAAAACGTCGAGGAATGCTCAGAAGAAAAGTCCTGTTTCATCAAGATAACGCCCGTGTTCACACGTCGGTACAGTCAATGGCTGAAATTCACAACTGTGGCTTTGAACTGTTACCGCATCCGCCGTATTCACCTGATCTGGCACCATCAGACTTCTTTCTGTTCCCTAACCTAAAAAAGCACTTGGGAGGTCAAAGATTTTCGACAAACGACGAGGTCAAAGCAGCTGTAGACGCATATTTTGACTCTAAGGAAGAATCATTTTTTTTTCAACGGTCTAAATGCTTGGAAGGGGGAGGTGGCAAAAGTGTATTGAACTTGATGGTGATTATGTAGAAAAATAAAAATATAACTGATTTAGTATGTGTTTATTTTCTTGGTTAGGCCGAGTACTTTTCAATCCACCCTCGTAACTCGGCGCAGAAATGATAATACACCAGTTGGTAAGTGCAACATACGTTCCCTCCAAGTCCAAGTCATCCAGATATCTCTAATATGTAATGTGATGAAAAGCTGCAACGATTAACACACTTGAAAAAATCAAGTAACAGTGCATCTCTCATCACCATTTTATACGTCTTAGAGCTACGCTGCGGCTATATTATGGTTGTAGCACGAACGGGTCGGCACGACCGGGGAAGGACACACGCTCTCACAGAACATCAGCGTAAAATAGCAGCTTAATGCTGATGTGTTTCGTATGGTGAGTGTAGAGAACCGGAGACCCGTTTTATTGGAATTGAGGCATTCCATCTTAGTCCTCAGGTGTGACAACGCATCTGTATTGTGATTCTTAATCGATGTTAAATATAGATTTCTATGGGCCACAGCATCCATTACCATCATGTGGACTGTGTGCTAGTTTGTCACACAATCGAAGCTCTCGTTCGCAAACAGAGTAATTTCAAGAAATTCAAGAAAGATGTAGTGCAAGAAGTATAGACAACGGTGTTGAAATACTTAACTATATCATCAATAAGTTGGAATCGAATTTCACAATAGCCACTGATTTCCTTCAGAAAGAACGGAATGACCTTCTAAAGGAACTTGAGGCGCCTAATAATAAAATTAAAGTCCTGTAAATTAAGCGATCTGCGCTTAAGTCAAATATTGAGTCAATAGATCGTCGATTAACAATCCACATTTATATATCTCTTCTATGCTTTGATAAGTACTCTTGAGTATGGTTCTGTTGCATGGTACGTTTTTTCATTTGTTCCATTTTACGAAGTGCACTCCAAGCGTCTAGAACGGATCCAAAGCTAAGCTCTTAAGATAGTTAGTTATAGGCTGGAAACAGGTAGCAAACTACCATCTGATCAGGAGAGACTACTTAGATTTGGAGTTTCATCACGGCGTAATTGACGTGCAATACAAGATATTCTTTGCTTACATAAATTAATACACTGCAGGATTATTTCTCCAAATCTTTTATCCCAAATCAATTTTAATATCAAGTCGAATCCCAGGCGTCGTCTTATTACGTTTATATTACATTTCAATAAGAACAATACTTCATTTTACAATTTTTAACATGAAAGTGTCGCTCTTATAATGATCTTTTATACGTCGTAGAGCCACACTACAGCTATATTACGGTTGTAGCACGAATGGGTCGGCTCGACCGGGGAAAGACCACACTCTCACAGAATACCAATGAAAAATAGCAGCTTAATGCTGCTGTTTTTCGTATGGTGAGTGTAGAGATCCGGAGACCCTTTTTTAATGGAAACCAGGCATTCCATCGTAGTCCTCAGGGGCGAAAACGCATCTACGTTTTCATTCTTAATCGAGGTTATATGAGGATGTCTATGTGCCACAGCATCCACTTACTATCAGGTGGACTGTGTACTCGTTTGTCACCCTTATTGTATAAAAATTATGGTTTTGACAGTCAGGTAGGGACACTGACGTCTTTGACAATAATATAAATAATTTACGACTGTTCCACTACTTTAAGTCAACTCCACATTAATTTTTATCGTACTAATTATATCTAAAAAAAAGCTTTCACTAAACTGCCGTAAAAATTTGTTAAATTTATAAAATGTTTTTTTTTTTTTTGGTAGATATGTTTACGCATAATGCTTGTTGCAACTGTTTTTGCCGTTTTAGGTTTGTATTCCAGGACAAAACTTTGTATATAATAGGTATTTATGTTACGTAAAAGTGAAATTAAACTGTTGTGTACATCAAATAAATAAATAAGAAGCTATTATTAAATAATTTCACTAATAAACACGTAGTAAGTAGGTACTGTAGATTCAGTAGGTAATATTTTATGCTGTAATGTCGCCTCTACACGTTGGCCAATACAGTGGCGAATGTAGTGGCGAATATATTGGCCGAGAGTTGGTGACGGCGTCCACACGTTGGAAGGTCGTTCAGTTTACTTCGGTTCGAGCCTTTTTTTTTTTTGCGCCCGAAGTAAATATGGGCAACCCTCCGGAAAGCGGGGGAGGGAGGCGGTGAATGCTCATAGCATACCACGCAGCCGGCTGCGTGGTTATGTGGAGACTTTTACCCACTAAACACCGCCTTTTAGGAAATGGCTTAACGATCTGACTAGAAATCTCTAAGCCGTATACGAACGCGACCCTCCTTGGCAGAAAGGAGGGCGCAAGCGGCGAAAAGCCGCTTAGAAGAGTGCTAAGGCAGATTAATGGATGAGTTATGGAGGCTCGGCCTGAGCCGCCAGGAGGCAGTTCAGGTCAGCCGAAAGCTTGTTGGGGGGGGTCCGAGAGAGAGTTTCTCGGTCTGCGCACACTATAGCGAGTGTGGATAGGGGCTGCATAGGCAGCTGTCTCGCGAATGAGATGATTTGGGTGGGACTCTGAGGCTTTGAAAAATCTCTCAGAGAGTGATTTAAGGAATTGCTGGATTGTTGGGAGCTCTAAGTCTCGATGTAGGTCGGCATTACGGACATAATAGGGCGAGTTAGTGGCCCTACGACAGAATAGATTTTGAACTATTTGAAGTTCATTTATAGCTTTGGACTTAGCATGAGCAAAAATGGGGGCCGCGTAGGTCATGACAGGTCGTATGCAGACCTTATATAGGGTTCGCTTGTTGCGGAGGGACATTTTACTGTGTCTGCCCAACATGCTGTTGAGCCTACCCATGTAAAAACGTGCGGTGCGAGTAACCTTCTTGATATGGGGCTCGAAAGTGAGCCTTGCATCAAGGGTGACGCCTAGGTATTTGGCTTTAGTTTGCCATGGGACAGGGGTTCCTAACATCCTGATTTGCGGAGTGGTGGTGAGACGACGTCGTTTATATTCGAAGCAAACGGCGGAGCTTTTCTCCGGGTTTACGTCGATACGCCATTTTTGGAACCAAGCTCCTAAGTCGCTTACTGACTTTTGAATCTTGTTCCGAATCTGTGGTAGTGAGTTGCCTTTGGAGTAAAGGGCTGTGTCATCTGCAAAGAGGGCTAGTTTGACACCATTCGACGGGATAGGGATGTCGTTGGTGAATAGTATGTATAGGAGGGGAGCAAGCACAGAGT